GGTATCTAAATCATAACACCTTTTAACTTTCATATTTTTCCTTAAATTGGTGTTTCTGTCAGCCTTCATTTTCTTTCTCCAATGCAACAATGACTCTGAAATTTAGCAGTTTTCATATAGTTGCTATGTCCCCTGATCCTCTCAACTGCTTGAGATATTACACATGCATGTATATTCCTGTCCAACAGCATCACTGGTGAAACTTTTAAAACTATACTTCCATAGCATGACAGAAACCACCTACCATCTGTATTTTACCTCCTACAAATAAGAGAATCCATATTGCCTGCTCCAAACCGCCCCTTTTTGGTGTCTATTTCCTAAGACCATTTCTGGTTCCTCTTGTCCTAGGTAAGGTTCTGGGAAGAAATTATTATGAGGTAGGGATTTGATGAAGGCAATTTAAAGGGGTATCAGAAAAGAAAAATATTTATAAGGCAGTGATAGAAGGATAAATGGAACTACAAACAGTCATGACAAATACCTCTGCTCATCCCATAAGGAACTCTGTAACTAGAATAGCCTTTTGCAGGTGTCCCAGATTGAAGCAGGAGGCCTGGTCTTAGGAAGGGCAGTTTCCTTAGACAAGGACTATTCCCTAGAAACTGGAGAAATGAATGCCTCTCACCTGAAAAAGGTGTGACAGATAGAGGATGGTTTGGGTCAGCATAATACAGCATCCAATACAACATATTTAATTTAGATCTCCATTGGCTCTTTTACCTATTACTTCTATCAATCTTTTTATATAATTAAAAATTGTCTTCACTTTGCTCTTATCTTCCTTACCATTTTTATCACAGTGTTTCTCCTACCTTCCAAATCTTTCATTTATGGATTTTTTTTTTTTTGTAATTGTTTCCTTCCGTCAGTTTTTGTTTCACACCCTTCAGTTGACTGTTTCTGGATTATTTTTCTGATTCATTCTGTTTCAAAGGTTTAAATGTTTTCTTCCATTTAGCGCACTTAAAAAATTACTAGGTCAGATGTTCCAGCTGCTTTTTGTCTGCATTTTCTGGTGTTCACATTCAACAGGTCTTGGTCTAATGTGTTAATCTCATGTTTATATATTTATTTTGGTGCCATAATGCTTTCTGAGATCTGCTTTCTCTAGATTCTTCTCCCATCCTCTAACATATGAATTTTACATTTTTCCTTACAATCTTTCTGCTCTGTTCAATTTGATTTCAGAAACTAGAAGTTTTCTTTTTTCACATGGATTTACCCTGGAGAAAAATGTATGCTGAATGGTTCTGAGATCCTCAAGGAGTTAGTTCACCACAGTTCTCTTTTGATGATCCTGTGCAGTTTTCTTCACTTACCTGTAATTCAGAAACTGTAATGACTTCTAATGTTTTAGTTGCTCTCAAACATATTTTCCTCTTTTGGTCATATAATTAAGAGGAATTGTTTGGTTTAATGCAAAGAAGAGATGCTCAAAAATGTTTGTTTGTTTGTTTTTGCTTGAGCAACTGAATGAAGATTTTTACATAAATGGGTAAACTAGAAAATGAATGATTAATAATGACAGAGGCAGGCACTCTATTTTGAATATATTAAGTTTGAGGTGCCTTCTAGCTACATGGATATATTAAAGAGATACAACTTTGAACTGGGAAGTTTATTTAGAACAGTTTCCTTTGTGAAGCCTTTCCTGAATGCCATGTTCCCCTTCATCATCATTCCTGTTTTAGCCTTTATCCAATTCATATCACAATTACCTGTTTATTGGTCCTTTTCCTATTGTGGACAGTGTGGGCTTTTTGCGAAACAGGACATATGTTCATTTCTTCCTTAGGTCCCTTTCTGGCACAATACTGATAGTCAGCTATTATTTTCTCAATGCATGTATATAATAGGACAGCCAATTATATATTTTTTTCTAAAACTCCCATTTTTGAAAAATATTTTTCAAATTAAGCCTATGTTTGCTCATTTCTACTATCCAGTTCAGGGCACATCTCTGAAGTTAGGTACTATTAGTATACTTGTTCTGAATACTGTCTTTAACATTTGCCTCAGATCACATGTGAATTTATGTCTAGATATTGGTCTTTTAAACCAAACATGTAATACATCCCCAAACATTGCTTTCATATGTAATATATTAAATTATTTTTCCTCAAATAAGTCTTTATATTGTCTTCCATACCCCGTGCAGTATTTTTAAAAAACTTTTACTACTGAATTTAATCTTAACAGAGTCAGCAGTCAACTCCAGAAGTGGAGATCACTTTATATCTCCTCTCTGTGTGTTGATGTATCTTGACTTAGATATATTCTTACCTCCAGATGCTTAGAGGCAGAAGATGGGAGCAGAGCAAATATGCAAAACTTGGGTTCCAAGTGCTTGTCACCAGCTTCAACCATAAAATTAAATTTTCTGGTTAACAAATAATTTACTTTTGCCAAAAAATTTATCCTAAAATCTTTGAAAACCATTTTTCTTGGGCAAGCCAAGTTACTGCCTTAAGATTGTAATCAAAACCACACCCTATTTGTTCTAATAGCCACACTACCCAATTTAAATGTTTTTTTTAAATTTACATGATTCATCTTCTATAAAGTTATGTATGGCTAATTTTAATGGAACATTGTATCTATACATTTTGAGAATAACATAGTAATTTGGTATCTTAGTGAATATTCTTGATATATAATGTTGAATTCCCCCAACAGATTTAAATAGAAAAAGATTTCTGCATAAGAATTTATCAACTGTAAAAATGTTAATGATTCAATTGATCTTATCTTGCATTTTCTGTACGGAAAAAAAAAACTGTACTTTTGTATTTATGTGTGTGTGCTCAGAAAAAAAAATGCCAATTTTGTGGCTGACAATTTAGTCTACTTGTTCTATCTTAGCTCTTCTTCCTCTCCTTTCACTAGTATACCAAATATGGTTTAAAAGGGGGGGATGATACTATAGCATAAAATAATCTTATATTAACAGTCTCATGAAAGAAAAAAATTATTTGGGGACCATCTAACTCTTTGGGATTATTTATTTAACTAGGTATAAGCCCAACCAATAATATCATGCTTTAGCACATATCTACCATTTTATTTAAATTTCAAATATAAAAACCAACTATGAAATGGCTTGCCTAAATGCAGATATATCACCATTAAAATTTACTTACTTTTTGAATAGGTTTAGCACGTGAAGGGACTACTATAGCCTATTTTTCCTATTCCTGGTGACTCCATGTTGGATTCTGATGGCATTCTCAAGATCACGCTGCAACTTGATGGTACAACTGGAATCCAACCCTGGGATTTGGATTCCCAGGCCATTATACTTTCTATTATACCACAGTGATGCTCAAATGCTTACAGGAGTTGCTGATGATAAAAAAAAAGGAGCACCAGAATAAAAAAATCATCAAAATCAAACAATTTAAAGGTAATAAACCCTCATGGGCCCCTATCACTTAAAATTTTTCCTTCTTCAATTTCAAGTATTTAGCTGGTCATATTTTTCTAAGATAACACTAAGCTCAAGATAAAGTACCAGCTTCTACTAGACAAGCTGTAAAAGCAATGAAATTATTATAGCTTTATAGTGTGATCTTCCCAGAAGTATTAAGTGCAAACTATGTAATTACTGCCCCTTCACTCCAAGATCAATCATCTATGGATGGAAAATGATCATTTAAATAAAACAATGTATAGAAATTAGAACACTTTAATATAAACACTTCCAGAATATAGAGTGATTTTTGTATCAGCACTTTGAGAACTTTTTTTAAAAGTATATATCTTCTAAGTTTGTTATAGACTATTTAATTTTTCACTTTCAGAACTAGAAAATACAAAAATACACTGCAAATTAGATTTAACAAAGAAAAAAATCAGTGTAAATTGTTTCATACATTTTCTTTTGAGAAAACTAAGAAACATAAACAAACACATCGATAATAAAATACCACCAACACTAACACAAACCCCAAAAGGAATGGATTCAGCAATGCCTTGTTTCCCATAGGGCTGACCATGCTTAGTTTCCAAGAACAAATAGGATCAGGTGAGTTCAGGGTGGTATGGCTGTACACTGCAACTCTTGATAATTCTCTCATTAAAAAATAAATTATCTCTCATGGGTAAAAAAATCTACTATCACAGCAATCTGATGGACAAAGTAGAGATAACCCCATTTAGTGAAATTACATTTTATGTAAGATACATTTAATAATCTTTCTTTCTTTCTTTTTTCTTCTTTTTTTAAAAAAATTGAGGAAGAGTAATTTGAGGAAAAGGCATAGTGAATACTTTCAGTTCACTTGGCTTTTATAGAGATTACATTAACTGTCCATGTGAAAAATCAAATAATTATTTAATAAAATCAAACTTTTCAACCCATTAAGGGAATAAAACTAGGAAGTTTGAAATTAGAGGATAGAATCATCCTAAAGCATTGACTCTTCTGACTTCTTTTATAAGTTTCCTTTTCTCTTATGTTCTTCTTGTGTTCTTATGTTCTTGTTTCTCAGAGGTTAGGTTTGGGTTTTCTTGGTTGTTTTTTCAGTTAAATTTCAAGTTTTACAAAAAGAAAGAAAAGGAAAGAAAGAAAGAAAGAAAGAAAGAAAGAAAGAAAGAAAGAAAGAAAGAAAGAAAGAAAAGAGAAAAGCAGTTTCCCTTAACTGACAATGGCTGTATCTACCTCTCCTTTTCATCTGATGCTCTTGTGTTTATCTAATTTCATCTTCTTGATGTTTTCTTCAGTTCATCCTTGAGGAAACACCAACTAAAAGTTTAAAATCCAAAAGCAGATTCATCCCGAAATACTGACTTTTCTGTTTTTCTTTCATAGGTTTGATTTTCTCTGCTGTTCTTCTTTCTAAAAGACTGACTTAGGCTTTTCGTGTGTTTCTTCTTTCAATTCATTTTTAATTTTTGCACACAAAACAATGAAGCTTTCCTGCACCAACAATGACCACATCAAACCCTCCTTTTCTTCATTGGATTCTCCTGTCTTTATCTAAACCCATACTATTTTCTTCAAATCATCCTTTGGTAAACTAAAAGTTTAAAATCCAAGAATTGACTCATCCCAAAGCATTTCCTCTTCTGTCCTTTCTTCAACAGATTTTCTTTTCTCTTTCCTGTGCTTACGTTCTTCTTTTTCAGAGGATATATCACGGCTTTTTTTCTTTTTTCGATGCTTAAGTTTTCCTGAACTGACCCTGACTTTATCCTCTTCTCGTTTACTTTGTTGGATACTCTTGTCTTTGCCTAAATCCATATCCTCATAACTCTTTTTCTTTTTATGCTTGGACTGCTCCTTCTCTTGCCTTTCTTCACCTTCCTCAAGGTGTCGTCTTTTCTTCTGGTGTCGCCGTTTATGAGCTGCTTGATCGTCACTGGTGTTGTTTTCTGAGGAAAGGTGCTTATAAATTTCACATTCTGCACTGTATGGGCCAGAGTTATTTTCTTGCTGACTAAGGCTCAGAGGTACTGGTTTTTCTGAGAAATAGTCTCTGGGAAGTTGACAGTACTTTACAGAGTCTAGTCTCTGTTTGCTGTCATAAGCTGGTAAGCAATGAGGTAACTGGTTTTCTACTGTTTGTGAACTATTGTATGGTCCTGTATAGGTCTGGAAAGTCTCAAATGGGAGTCTTTGCTCAAACATTCTGTATCTTGTTCTGCTATCAACCATTTCTCTGTGTCTATGAGTTTCCACAGAGCTATCAACTATCTTTCTGAAACAAGTCTTTGGCTCTAATCCTCTGGCTTTCTGCACTTTGATGTAATCATCAAGTTCATCTTGGAAAGAGTCATATGTTCTCTTTGAATGAGCTGGTAACCAATGAGGTAACTGGCCGTCCACCGGTGAACTACTGTATGATTGGTGGTAGGTATGGGAAGTCTCAAAAGAAAATCTTTGCTCACACATTCTTTGTCTGGGTCCAGAATCAACCATTTCTCTATACCCTCGGTTCACAGAGTTTTCTCTCATCTTTCTAAAACAAGTGTTTGGATCTAGTCCTCTGGCTTTTTGCACTTTGATGTAATCTTCAAGTTCATCTTTGAAAGAGTCATGTGTCTTCTTTGAATGAGCTGGTAAGCAACGTGGTAACTGGTTTTCCACTGCTTGTGAATTATTGTATGGTCCTGGGTATGTCTGGAAAGTCTCAAATGGAAGTCTTTCTTCATACATTTTAGGTCTGGATCTGGAATCAACCATTTCTCTGTACCCAAGGCTTTCCAAATAATTCTCTTCCATCTTTCTGAAACAAGTCCTATACTCTAGTTCTCTCGTTTTCTGAATTTTGATATAATCTGCACATTCAACTTGGTAAGAATCTTGTGTATTTGAATTCTTTACTAGATTGATAACAAGGGATTCTCTGCAAAAAGGACAGAAAGTTCTTGTTACAAGAATATTTTATTCTGAATATTTTCTTTGCTCTCAAAATAAAAAAAAAATCCAAATAAAATTTTAAAATCAACCTCAGGATAAAAGCTATAAAGAATTACTTTTCATGGTAAAAAGATTCAGTGGGAATGATCAGATATCTCCCAGGCATCTCACAATTTTTGTTTTTAAGAAAACTTTCTCTGGCTGGGATTAAAGGGAGGAGCATATATATCAGATGCTCATGTACTAAAAACCTTAAGACATGTTTGGATGTGTGAGTAAGGACCATTAATATTTAATGCTCTAATAAATGGTCTGATCTGAATGTTAGAATGATGTGTTTTGATTAATCAGTTCCTTTTATAGATCTACAAATGTGGCAAGTATTCTAGAACCCTGAATTTCTTCTTAACATGTCTAAATGTAGGTTAATTTTGGCAAGTCAGACAATTTAGGTCCTAAATATTCATCTATAATAAAGTAACAGAAATGTTATATTTGATTTTTAAAAAATAAGCCAATTATATAACAATTAAATGTCCCTCTGTTGTATTACCTAAATTACCCACTCCTCAATTGCACATTCAATTATTATCTCCTTAAAATAACTGTTAACTAAGCATTTATTGAGCTCCACCTATGTCCAAGTCAGGTACCTTACATATGTTATTATATTTCATTTTTAACAATCTTATATAAGAGTTCTTCACAATTATACACTTTATAAAAGATGGATCTGGTATTCTGATCCAGGTCTGTCTAACAGTAAAACTTTTGTTCTTAACCACTACACCTCACTGAATGCTAACTGGATCATTGAAACCGTGGAACTAAGCCAAGCTTCTAGAAATGCTTTGAATTTGTATGGTTAGCCTGAGAATGATTCCTTAGCATCTCTCTAAAAAATATAATGTTCTCTGGTCAGGAGGGATACAAAAGAGCCAGCTCTTCCAGCACACTATCATGACACAAGAACACCCTTGGGAACACTAGTGTACAATGTTACTAATACTGTTAACCATATCCAGTTCAACTCATAAGGAAATGAATGCCCAGAGAAGTTTTGTAAAATATGTGTTTGGTGTCAGGAACATTTTATCAAAAAAACCACTTACTTAATTTGATGTTCACTCCCTTGCATGTGGGACCGGAACATATCTAAAGATGTAAAGGTTATACTACAAATATGGCAAATGTAGGTTCTCATATTAAATGCTGAAAAAAATAGAAAGTTCAAGTTAAGAAGGTTAGTATGAATACACTTAGAATCATTTGATATTAGGACTGGAGAAGAATTTATTAGAGATGATCTACTTGAAATTTCCCAATTAGGACTGGGCCCAGAATGGCAAAATGACTTAGTCAAAGTCACAGAGCCATTTAGTAGTAGTGAGCCTTTGTGCCCATGTCTCTTAATTTAATCCCCAGAATTCTTTGCACTATACCACACTGTTTCTGTAGCCTTGATTTATTCCCTAAAAATCTGGTATCTGCTTGCTTACTGTTGCTACATGATGGTAGCAGGCACCTCAAATTTAGTGTGCTTGCACAACTTTTGACTCTTTGTCCCTTGACAAACCTCTTTTTGTTTGCCACTAATTCTTTCCACCCAACCAAAGTCTGAAATGTCCCAAAAGATTAAAGACAAACAAAAGCAAATTTTTACACTCTTACCTGAAATCACTGTAGTGCATTAGCTACCAAAAGTAATTTCCACATATTTTAGAAAGGAGAGAGGTTCAGTGAGCCCCACTCACAGGATAAAAGCTGAAAGCAAAATTCTAAAACAAAACTGCTAGTTACCATTTTAAAAGAGTCAAAAACTATAAAATAGGAAATGTCCAACTACCTTAATAGTTTGCTTCTTGGATAGAAGTGGGGTAATAAATTATTTTCATTGTCTTACTCTCACCATCCTTCTACTTCATCTTTGGTCAGAAGAAACAAATTAATAAATTTCCTAAGTCAAATATAAAAACAATCCCACACTAGGAAATGAGGCAATAAATTGGTGCTGTAGAGATATTATGGACATCTAAGGTCACCCTCTTTTATATCAAACAATAAGCTAATCATGGAAAGGAAGCTAAATTAATCATTATGAAGTATATCTGTTTTGTCTGAGTGAAGATTATTCACAGAAATAAAAGACTACGGTCAAATGGAAAGAAAGATGCTGACTTTGAAGACATGAGACTCTGTTAACTATTAAGATATACTCTTAGTGTGATACCAGAAGAGCTAAGCAGGTCACGTAAAAATTTGAATGAATGATTCCCCAAATTTGTCCTCCTATCCCTGTATTCTCATTTCATGCTCACCATATCACTCCCTGTTTATAATTTTTCCCATATTTTTTGATACCAAGAAAAGTACAATCTAGATGACAAACATAAAAACTGGGCATTGGGGTCATATAAATATATGTGTGTGTGTGTGTGTGTGTGTATATATATATATATATATATATATACACACACACACATATATATATCCTGGGGTTTTATATATATATATATATAATATAATATATATAATATATATATATATACTATATAATATATATATACTATATATATATATATATATCCTTATGGTATATATATCCTCCTACCATAAATCAATAGCAGAATGACAATATATCAACTTAAACTATAATGTTTACTAAACTTCTCTGATAAGAATCACCTGGGGTATCATCCTGCAGAACATGATTCACTCTTTTAGGGGCAGGGACAGGGAATTTGTTTTTTAATGAATATCATTAGTTATTATTATCTGATATTTAGGGGCAGGGACAGGGAATTTGTTTTTTAATGAATATCATTAGTTACTATTATCTGATATTTCATGAGAAATATACCAAGGGAATATTTTCCTGTTCCTTGGTTAATTTCAGCCCCTTTCAAGTTTGTGATTAGTGGCTCCCTGATTTGATAATGATCAACTGAAGATTCTGGACTTCCTGAAAAACATGGGACTAAAATGAATCTTTACAAAAACCTTTTATAGGAAATTACTACTATCCTTATTTTAAGATTCAGATTTATATGGCCAATACTATGCATTTTTTAAGGCACCCAAGGTATGCAAGGAATCCTGGCTTCCTCTAGATAAGTGGTCCTCAATGCTGGCTATATTAAAATTGTTTAGGGGAAATATTCATGTTACAGCTCCACGTAAGATCAATTAAATCAGACTCTTTAGGGGTAGAACATGGCTTCCTTACTTTGTGAAAGCTTTTCAGATATTTGTACTTTCAGCTATTGTTGAGCACCTTCCCTAGACTGAGCCAATGATCTTTATTGTGATTAAAAACTCAGATTATATATCAGAGCATTTGTGCACTTATTTAGTGCTTATAATTATAAAATACACTGTATGTAGTTTTATCTTTAATTCCTCCTTTGTTTCTCCACAATTACGACAGAGTCTAATGGAGACAACATAGGACTTCAGAAGAGCTGCCAATCATATATCCAGAGGCAGTTCTAGTACTGTGGTGTGATTACTATTACTTTAGCCCTTGGCTTTTCCACAGAATGATGTTCTTTTCTTGTTCTCATCTGTAGACATCTCATAAAATACTGTATAAAAACTGTGTAAACAGGGCTGGGATTGTGGCTCAGCAGTAGAGCACTCACCTAGCATGTGCAAGGCCCTGAATTGGATCCTCAGCACTACATAAAATAAATAAATAAAATAAAGGCATTGTGCCCATCTACAACTAAAAAATAAATGTTAAAAAAATATGTAAACACTTTCTTTGAAGACAGGAAACCTATTCATTTATCTAAAGATCAGAACTCCTGGTCTAATCCTATAATAAAACTTCATTATTTCTTGCACTCTCCATTATCTTAGAAACTGCTCCTTCGCCCCATTCAGATTTGCTGTACTTGCCCCTGCTAGGATCCTTTGTTTCTGAGTTTATCCAGAAACTGAGGCTTCTTTGCATCTTGTAATTTTCAGAATCTTTGACAACCCAGCACTTGGATGTCCAATCTTCTCCTAATCACAGCCCTATCTCAGAACTCCTTGAACAAAGGTCTTTATTTTTAAAACATGAATTGGGTAGGGTATGTCTTTATAATCTAACATTGTAGTTTCCAATTTGGCTTCATGTTGGAACCATTCAATGAATTTTAAAAAACAAAACAAAACACAATGTGTAGGATCCAGCATGGTAATTTAATTGACCAGTGGAATGATATGAGCATTGGGATATCTAAAAGCCCCTCAAATAATTCTAATGTGTAGTCAAGGATGAGAACCTCTGGTCTAATGTATTAAATCGGGGGCAACAATTGAAAGTTACATGAAAGTAAAAAAAAATAAAAAGCAGCTTAATTTGGAACTTATGAAGAAAAAGAGAAAATATCCAAATTACTTGTCTTAGAATTATGATAGAAAACAAAACTTTTTTAAAAAATTAATATTTAAACCTATTCTGTGATGAGATATACGTACACACACATACATACACATATCTATATATACACAGAGGTATCTATTCTATCTCTCTCTACACACACACTCATACACACATGCACACGCACACTTACACATTATTTCACTTCACCTTTGTTCAATCCTATGATGTTACATTATTTTTACTTTTTACCCAACAAATTTGAGGTGCAAATTCGCAAGTGGCTTCAAACACATGTCTAAATCTATATTTATCCCTCTACATGATATTGCCTAAAATAAGCAATTACCAAATATAAATTGAGAAAAACTCATTAGCATATAAAGCACTAAGAAGTATATTGCAGAATAAAATATAACCCCTTGTCTCAAGGAGAGTGAGTCAGTTGTGGGGTTATAATTGATGCAATTGTCAATGAATAGTAGACTATAAGAGGAAAAAGTATAATAGCAAGAGCTATAGCAGTAAGAGAAGTTGTGATGGATCACAGAGTACAGGAAGGATTTGAATTGTAAGGAAAGCTTACCAGGGGATGAAACAACATCAAATATGGAAGAGACAGAAATGAGCATGATGTGTGGAATTTGAACAATCTGTTCAACAAAATGTGAGTATCTATGTGGCACCAAGCATCATGCTACATGTTAGAAGTACGAAATGAATTAAACAGCCAGGTTTCCTACAAGACCAATAATGCGAGAAACAGATAAATGAACAAAGGATTTCAATCTCAGATGGTAAAAGTATGTTTGAGAGGTATGGGAGCACAGTGAGGCATAGGCACTTAGCACAGTATAAGGATCTAAAGATACTTCTCAAAAGAGAAATATGGTCAACAAATGTATGAAAAATGTTCAACATCTCTAGCAATTAGAGAAATTCAAATTAAAACTACAGAGATTTCATCTCACTCCAGTCATGATGGCAATTGTCAAGAAAGACAATTAAAAATAAATGTTGGTGAGGAGGTGGGGAAAAGGGTACATTCATACATTGCTAGTGGGACTACAATTTTGTGTAACCATTCTGAAAAGCAGTATAAACATTCCTCAAAAAAAAAAAAAAAAAGGAATGGAACCACCATTTGACCAACCTATCCCACTCCTCAGTACATATCCAAAGGATTTAAAATCAGCATATTACAATGATGCAGCCACATCAATGTTTATAGCTTAATTCAAATAGGTAAGCTATGGAGCCAACCTAGGTACCCTTAAACAGATGAATGGATAAAGAAAGTGTGGTATATATACACAATGAAATATTTATTACTCAGCCATCGAGAAGAATGTTTTTATTACATTTGCTATTAAATGGATGGATCTGGAGACTATCATTCTGAATGAAATAAGTCAGTCCCATAAAGCCAAAGGTTGAATGTTTTCTCTGATATGTGGAAGCTAACCCACAATAAGGTAGAGGGAGAAGAGAAATTCAGTAGATTAGACAAAGGGGAATGAAGAGAAGAAAAGGAAAAGGAAAGGCAGTGGAATGAATCTGACATAATTTTCCTATCTGAAGATATGAATACACCACAGTAAATCACACCATAATGTATATACACAAGAATGACAGCCTAATTAGAATAAGATATATTCCATGCTTATATAATTATATCAAATGGATTTTACTATCATGTATAACTAAAAAGAACCAATAAAAATTTTCAGATGAAAAGATCTTTTAAATTTTCAATTGTATTAATTTCTAGTTTTATTGCATAGTGGTCAGTTTTGTCTGTTTTATTTTTGCTTTCTGGAATTTACAGACTATATTTACAGCA